AAGTCGAAAGGAGACTGCGACCATACCTGAGGCCACAACATCTTGGTCTTCACATCTTAAATATTTTTAAGTTAACTTATAAATGATAATTGTTAAAAGCTTTAATTTTTCTCAAACTTCATATTTTTGATTCCATTAACTAACTTCTGCCTAACGAAGTCGATTTCACGACACTCGCTTTACTCCTACGGGTATAAATAAAGAATATATTAATACAAGAATCCCCTTTTATGGATTATCCAACTATAGGCAACTTGGCTTGTTCTTTATTTTACTCTGACCTGTAGGAAGGATAATCTGCCATCATTTTTACAAATCCTTAATAAAATTAATCATTCCATCTATTCGAGTCAGCCTAAAAAACTTGTCCAGTCACCCTTAACTGCGTTGATAGGCAAGTTAAATTGAGAATCATTTAGGGAACACAGAGTGCCTCTTAAAATAGGCAAAGGAATGATTTCAGCCGGTCACTATTGATAGAAATTTCCATTTACCTGATTTAAGAATGGTTTACCATTCTGTCGAAGTTTGTCACAGCGGAATATATGAAGGCTCATTACATGTAAAATGGAGCAGTGGAACGTAGCGCCGAGGATCTACATGCCCAATTCAACAGTTGTGACTCTCTACTCGGATCCAATACCTCTTCTTACTTCTCATTGAGCCAGAAGCCCGAGGAGCGTGTTTTGATTTAGTGACAATAAACAGGTTGCGATTAGCAGAAAAGATGTAAATTTTTGTGACCCATAGCGAAAGAAAGGTGACAGAGGTCTTTTTTTCAATCCACGGCCGAATTAGATAACACCTCATCTTTATGGGCCAATAAAGGGAAGTAAGTTTTTATTTCTTCCCTTATGGTAGGTGACCCGGATAATTTATTGGCACAAACCGACTAACGTTACAAGGTATTTCTTCTGAAAATCTGGAACCCTCTACCCTAAACGTCATAGAACTGCATCACCAAACAAGTTCCATTTCGAGAGAACATTTTACGATCCCTTAGAATGATACGGGATTATACTGTCAATTTTAGTCCTACAGTGAGACGACATATGGCTGTACTAAGGCCAGGCCAGGGCACTCGTGGCAATGTGGCCGAGTGGTTAGCATTTCAAGCTCCCAATCTGTACTGTCACAATTCGACTCCCGCTGAGGGTGTTGATAAGACCAATGCGAGGTCGAAACTGCAGTACACTGGTGCCTGGATGAGAACAACTTTTGGGAAAGTAAGGCTATGTGAAATTGAATGAAAACGTCAGCTCTACTCATATCATTGTGGGAAAATTCTTCTTCTACCAGTCATTCATCAACTTAAACGAAATTGGGTGAATAAATCTCATATTACTGATTTATTGGTAGTCTCGAAACAATACTTAAATATTTAAAAGCTGTTTATTAATTTGAGTAACTTGAGTAAGAAAGTATGAAGATTAAGATGGTGTGGCCTTTTGTGTGACCACTGTCTCATTTAGTTGTTATGTGACCTTGTTTTCGCAACTTGGTAATATTGATAGGAAGACTAAGAGGAACGCACCAAGTCCGTGGTCCATTGTATGCATGATCATTTCCAAAGTCGGATCGTGGACGTGGTACATCCCCAGATGTTTCGCCAGCATTTTCAGTCAGTCTTGCCATTCTTAACACCAAACTACAACTCGTCACAGAGACAAGTGAAGCCGATCCTTTGATAAATTTGTCCTAAACAGTTGTGGTATCTCTCCTTCTGTCCCAGCCTATTCACATTTCCTATATCCTCGTATCACGCCTTAACC